GGGAGTGCAGAGTGCTTCAGTGCAGTGGGGTTAGTATACATAGCAATCTTCATAATTACTATTTATGAGACTAGGCAGGCCCTTCGAAAATTTTTCAATACAGTGCAGAGGGGTATGGTTATGGCAAAAGGTGCAGATCACTCCCTCAACTCAACAACTGGTGGCAAATCACCCCCTCAACCCATTTCATGCGCAAATCACCCCCTCAACTCACCTGCCCCCTCTGTTAACACCAGCACCATCCTTCCGTTAACTTCTAATAGTCCACAACAAAAACCACACCAGCAAGTATAAAAATTGATCTAAGAATCCATAGATACTGTCGGTTCTTAGATTTACCAGTATCTGGACAAAGACCAGCTATATCACCACACAATCCCGGGTTGCAGGGGAAGCTCTTGCTGCATATTTCGTTAGCATAAAGAGGAGGGAGCTCTCCAGAAAGCTGGTTATTCGACAAATTAAGCAAATTGAGCTTCAAATTCTGCAACTTAATAGGCACTTTCCTAGAAAATAAATTCCTAGAAAGATCAAGATAATTAAGTACAGGCAAGCTACCTACTTCACTGGGAATTCTACCAGATAACCTATTGTTAGCCAAATTTAGCTCATTCAAATTTACCCACTTACTAATTCCTTCAGGAATACCCCCAATGAGCTCATTTTTACTAAGATCAAGTCTATCCAACTGCCTCAATTTCACCATGGAAGCCGGAATCCGACTTGTGAAACTGTTACCACTCCCAAAGAACACCACCAGATTGCCCAGCAATCCAATCTCATCTAGTATTGGCCCGGAAAACTGATTCCCAGAAATCAACAGTATTGACAGATTATGAGCATTAGAAATGCTCGGGGAAACTTGCCCACTAAGCAAATTCTCATCGAGCTCAAGCAAATATACTCTGCGCAAACCCCAGAAGTTGTCTGGGACTCCACCTGTTAAGCCGTTGTGCTTCAGTCTGACCCGGAGAAGGCTTTTGCATTTCCCCAGACTCACCGGAACTTCACCAAAAAATGAATTGTACATCAGAACAAGATCCTCTAACTTTCCCTTTGCACACAAATTCTCAGGAATTATACCAGAAAATTGATTATAAGATAAATCCAAGAGCTGCAATGGCAAGTTTTCACCAAGTTGACTCGGCAAAGACCCACTGAGTTTATTGTTAAACAATTTGAGTCCGTGTAGTAGTTTTGAACTAGCAATGCTCTCCGGTAAAGCCCCTTCGAGCCCATTACCGTACAAATTCAAGGACTCGAGTTGCAATGGGAAGGATGGTGCCGATGTTAACACAGGGGGTGATTTGCCACTGCAGGTGAGTTGAGGGGTTGATTTGCGTGTGATGTGGGTTAAGGGGGTGATTTGCCACCAGTTGTTGAGTTGAGGGGGTGATCTGCACCTTTTGCCTATGGTTATTAACCCCCTAAAAAAATCTTTGGAAGTATTACTCTTTCTCTTTTAAAACAATTATTGTGATTAAATTTTAAATTTATTTTAAATTAATTTTTTATTTTA